TGCGAAATAAAATAGTACCAACTTTGGTAATTGTGTTTTGAATTTCATTTGTTATACTGTTTCACGGTTCTAACTTGTTTTAAACTGTTTAGGTAACAACCACATCAAGTGTTTTTGTCTAAGATTTTTTTGTTTTATATGAAATTCATGGCTTGGACAACTTTAATTCTTAAAATAACAGTTAACTTATGCGTGATACCTTTCCTTTTAGTCTGCATCAACCGCACCGCAATAATGATCTCGTATTTCTTCGCTGAGTAGAAAATGGATCCACTAAATATAGTGAACTAACGGAGCACCTCCTCCTTTCTGTTCCAATAAAACATTTGAGATATTCCAACTCTGACTACATCTGCATACATACTACATTGCAGTATTTAGGTATTCATGTCGCCGTAAAGAAGGCCGTGAAGAAGTACTATAACACAAAGAACATGCCAGTCTCAATGTTGTTTTTCTCTGTTCTTGTGTATTTCTTTTATTCCTCTTTAATACTGATCATTATTCATCAAAATGTTAGTGAATTAAACTTCGATTTAGGATTTAGATATAAATAAGATTTCAGTAGGAAGCCTTGACTATTACTCCTCATCTTGTTTAATACCTATTTTTATTTAACATATGTACTTATCACATTTTATAATTTTCAATATTATGTCTGTTGTTGTCAACTAAACTTGTAAATTTACATGCATATCTCATACATGCATCCGGATAACTTATCACATTTTCTAATTTTCAATATTTTGTCTGTTGTTGTCAACTAAACTTGTAAATTGACATGCATATCTCATACATGCATCCGGATAACTTATCACATTTTCTAATTTGCAATATTCTGTCTGTTGTTGTCAACTAAACTTGTAAATTGACATGCATATCTCATACATGCATCCGGATATTTTTAACTTTTCGTTATTACTGTAAGAATGTATCCAGAAAACAGATTAGCTTGTAACTTAAATGTCATAAAAGTGGAACACTTGTGCTATAAAGTTTAATAGGTCACCGAATAGAAAATAATCTCGATACTACTTCGATGCTTTTGAAAGACCTGTTCAATAATACGCCATACGATGGGATAGACGAAAGAAAAAAGTCATGCTCTCTATATGTGTTACACCAAGTGGGATTGTTATTTTCTCCTCTTAAACTTGTTAGTATTTGAATGTACAAAATCCGTGGCTGAACTGTACTTAAACTTCCTTGTTAGGTTGCTCAGAGCTTCATAACAGAAATTGTGAAAATTGTACACAAAAACCTATTTTCCACCACAATATTATAATGTTAGTCACTTCTATAGGTACTTTAACCACATGTATTTTGTCAACATAAGGTTTTTGTTTTTTATTTTTCAAATTAACAACTCCCGCATTAGGAATATATCATGTGTCGCGAAGGACTTTACAAACATACATGAAACGAACACAAAGAACACCTAGACTCAGAACAACAATTTGTGGATCATACAAAGTGTCGTCCCATGTGGGGATCGGACCCACAACACTCAGCGTAGTAGTAAGCCGTTTAAACCGCTACGCCATCCGTGCAGTCTATTTAATTATACGCGATATGCGTCAAGTGTAATGCAAGTATATACCGAACATATACCTACATGAAAAGTCTACATATTAATATGCAGACTTTTCAAATTGCTGATTTCATTTTCATCTTAGAAATACCTAAATATATAACAAAAAATACTAGTACTTATTATTTCTAGTATTTTTTAATTTAAAAGGATTATACGAAAGAAAAGCGCAACCTCTAAAATTCCTTGTAACAGGAAAAGTACTGCAAAACTAGGCAAACGGCAGGAGGAGGAGGAAACTTTATTAAAATTAAAACTCCTGTTAGATACTATGAGTAGTTCATATTTCATCATCATCTCAGCCGAAAGACATCAACTGCTGGACATAGGTTCGTTACAATAACCGGTCCTGTTCAATGTGCATATATAATAAATAAAAATCTAAGTAGGAGTTTCTCTTAAATTATGGCAGTTTTATTTTCGGCAAGTGCAAAGTTAGCAAGGGAACATAATTGATCATAACATGCATCCCAAGTAGCTAGTCTTCGTCGGCGACATAGCGGTGATGTGATGAATACCTATCGATTAAAAAACTAAAGGAATTTGAAGAGGAAGCACAAATATTAGAAAACAGAAAATTTATTGCAATTTTGTGAAATAAATACAATTAAAATCCTTAAAATAATTGTACAAAACGAAACAAAATACAACAATGTTTTACTATAAACTAATTTTATCTAATTCAATAAATTATTCGCTTTTAGTCTAAAATATTTTGTACGAAATTTCATAGCTACAAACAATAGAATAGGTTAAAATAACACTATACTAAAAAGTATTTATATTTACAAATATACTAGTCTAATAATCTCACTTTGGTAAACTGTGGTTAATGAGTTTCTTCACTTGCTTTACTCTAAGTAATTATTTAACTTACAATTCTAAAGAACACAAATGGAAATTTAGTGTTCTTTTGTACATACCAGCAATTAACTCATTCACAACAAACACAAACACACACACACACCATCATATTTTATCTAATGAACACATATAAATACTAGATCATACATGGTATTTAAATACAAACTTATTCAAAATCATCATTTTTTGTTTAAAAGAAAAATACCATGGCTTATTGGTTTTAGAAAAGGATTATTATTTTGTATGTAAATACCATGAGACCACATAAAATGTTTCTTAAGATAAGAACTAATTCAAGCATGTTCCAAAAAGTATATAACACAAAAATTTTATGAAAAACCTATGATGTGTCGTGTGCTTTTTTCTAAATTTAAATATTTAAAAAAAATCTTCATTTAAATGTTGTCAAAATTTTAATATGGAACCGAATGTGAAGACGTCTTTTATCGAATCTTTAATTAAACATACATATATGTCGAATGCAGTCTTGCATTCGTACAAAGTCGAATCATGCCGCTTCGTGTTCCTCGCATTATCATCACGTTGCATTATGCATAAGGACATGATTCGGGCGATGAAACATTAGTACCCGAACGTTTGCGAGATGCATACAAAGTATTCGTTGACACTTGTATGCGCTGGAATGGAATATACATACGAGTATATCGCAGAGACGTAAAAATTACGCACTTACGACCACGGTAGGTAACTGTTCTAAGAAAATTAAAAATAGCGTAAGTGCCTAATAATTTTCCTGGCCAATAACAACAATTACTGGAAAGCGCAGTGTGGGACGACCGCTTACCCGATGGACGGACGACCTGGTAAAGGTTACCGGAAACCGTTGGATGCAGGCCGCAATCAACCGTCCCCGCTGGAAATCATTGGGAGAGGCCTATGTCCAGCAGTGGACAAGCATAGGCTGAGGTATATATCACTATTAAAAAGAAGGCACTATATTTAGAGACGATTTGACAAAATGTAGTTAACTAGTTTTTCACTTACAAATTGCAACTATTGCCAAGTCATTTCTTGACCTTTTCGAACAAAATAATTTATTTATTCACGTCTCCTATCTGAAGAAAGTACTTGTTTTGTTAATGATGTCGGGTATGTCAATACTAATATTAAAAAGCTGAAGAGTTTCTTTGTTTGGATGGTTGAAGGATAGAAATACTGGTTCGAGTTGAAAAAAATTTGGGTGTTGGATAACCCATTTATCGAGGAAGGCTATACATAATCGATGAAAAATGCTGCAGAAAAGGGGAAAATGTACTGCTTTTGTGACACACAGACGATGTTGTTTACTAAAATAATATCGAAAGAAGTTTCAGTATTTACTTTTTAAAGGTACACTGTGAAATACAATAGACTGTCGAAACAAACCTATTTGTACCAAACATTATTCCTAAGCATACTTTCACATATTTCTTTTTTTAAACGCGAACCGTAAGTACTCCATTCAAATTGCTCTGATTTAATCTCGAGCGAGTGGGCTTAGACCGGTTCCCACCTCTTCATTACCGAACGACTGACATCGTACCATGTACTGGGGTCGCAGTGTACACATTCGCACAAATTTACAAGTTCTCCGTACGCCTTTTAAGTTTTAAATGACATACTAAATGACAAAGTTAAGTTGTAAAATATCTCAATTCGACACGTAATGTGATGTAGGAATACGAAAAAACTTGATGGCATAGTTTTGTTTATTTGTTTAGTGAGGAGGATAGTTCATCAAGTCTTAAAACTATTTGATCCCACTTGCCAGATGCTATTAACCTATTCCAGAACTCGGCTCTTAGCAACTTCCCTACTAGTGACTATGCTAAATATAAAAACAAAAACTATGTTCATCTCACGAAAATTACAAAATTGTTAAAAAGTTAAACACTTTTTGAAGCGGATGTCAAAGAAAAAAGAAAATTTGAATAATACTAGTGGCATCCCGTGTCATATATTTGTAAAATCATTAACCAACGCCCTACATCACATTCAACGATTAGTGTCGACTACCGGATTCACCTAAGACTGTGTCATTAGATCAGCCACTTCCCTAATTTACTATTACACATCAGACAGTCAATTCCATTTCATTTTTTATCCTTTACTTATAAAACGTCATAGAACGAGACAGAGGATGTTCGCTTTGACGTAAATTCGTAGATGATGGTGCGTTACCGGAACAGTCGTTAGATCAATCGGCGAGGCGCCACATCGGGAACAACCCAGCATTTGTCACCGGACCACCGGCGCCGTAGTATTTATAGCGACGCCTGCGCTTGCGCCCGTGGGCGGCACACACGACACATCCACTCTCATATTAAGACAATAGTATGAATCAATATTCGATAGCTTAGCATAATTTATACAATTACCCTTGAAAACCCTATCGTCTATCTATTTTTAAATAATATGTACAAAGTAGGTACTTATCGTACGTACTAAAAGTAATAATAATAAATATTTGTTACCTAAAGCACTATACGTACTTTAAAAGTCTCTCGTCTGGCGGTATGAGTCCATGACACACACAGAGGGTGTATCACGTGATAAAACTGAGGATAGAAAAGCACACCATCGTTACTATCATAGACAGGTGGTTGATGTTGGCTGCATTGTATTTTTCAACGGGCATTTTCTTAATATGAGGGTGATTCTTTGTATGATTTTTCATCTTATGGAAGCAAAACCTCGCCATATTGTCCTGTGTTCTTGAACATCTGTAGTCATTTCCATCACATTGACACGCAGTCAACGCTGCTGCTTTCTCTTGCTTCCTCAAAATTTGAATGGAATTTCGACACCTATTTGAGCACTTTGTTCCTCTGCGTGTGAAAAGGGACTTGCAATTCTTATGGTAATAGTCTAACGCAGTGGCACACTGCGCATCAGCGATGCAAATGAGTTGTGAGAGGCTGCACGAAGAAGTTGCATTTGCCGTTCCATTCAATACTTGTGGTCTACAGATATCAATGCGTTGCTTCGTTTCCATGCAGTATTCGTCCTCGCATTCACACTGAAACAAAATTTTAAGTATTAGCGATATTTCTGCTTGAAAAATATTTTAATGTTACTTTGACCAAAAAAAACAAAAGGAAAAAACCAAAACCTCCTTTATAAGGAGAGGCCTATGTCAGTGGCCTATTAAAGGATGATGATGATGACCTAAAAAGAAGTCTTTTCCGTATTTTACTTGTTTATAGATATCGCACAATAGTTGAATATCGAACGAATTTTGCACTTGAATATTTTGAGATCAGAAATCTCACTATGTCATTCACAAAAATATCAGAACAAACGAAAATTAGGTAGCCAATCATTTAGGAAGGAAAGTCTTTGTAAGCTAATACAATATTTCATTGTTACTAATATTATTTATGCAAAAGAAAAACATAAAAATTAAAAAGATCGCCCTAAGGTACAACCATTTGAAATATAATACACGAGTATGTCGCCTCAATGGTTAATTTCCTATATGAGCGCTAATGCTATCACTGTGAGAAGCTAAATAAAATACTTTAAATTAAATAGACTAAGCACTTAATAATGTTTGGTATTATAGTCTTATTCAGAATAACATCAGATATTTAAATCCAATTTAGTCACATATTCTTAAACTCACATGCGTAGAAAACCGTTCGTAGACACTGCATTTAAGATAAAAGTACCTTATGTACACAAGAATCTAATAATAATTCAAAGTAATAAAATTTTAGGGAAACTCATAAATTCTCGCGGTCCATAGCGCATACTAATAACGTTCTACGTTCGTAAAAATAAAATAGTTTTACGACACTAAACATTCCGGCATTTATCCACTATCACAACATACGTGTGATTTGTAAAATTTACTAGACACAGTATAAGCATTACTTGAACATTAATATCGTTTAAATAAATAGTTCATTAGACGAACAGAGGTAACAAATACGAACTATCTAATACGAATAATATCAAACAGATACTTTGCAGTGCTAGTAAAAATAATAAAAGTTAAATTATGAAAGTATAAATAAATAAATATATGTTACGAAGTCATGTAATACTAATAAAATTATATCGAAGAGCAATAAACGCCAACTAAAGTAATTTGATGTAAAACGTACAAAATGTATACGTACATATGTAAACTTACATGGAATAGAGATAGAGAATGCATAATAGAAAATATCTGCTCCACCGATAACAAACCGGATTCTGTGAATACGAACATGTAACATGATTACATGAATGTTAACATGCAGAATGGCACTCTGGGTGTGTGGGCATAACCTTACAAGATTGCATTAAATGGGTCCAACTACTCATTTTGATGCAGTTAAAATCACCGAAATTTAATTCCAAAGAAGGAAACAGGCAGTTAGAAAAAATCTCTGCATCAGTGCTGCTCTGGTTCACGTGATATGTATTACAAATAATGCAAGAAAAGTCTCCTTGTTTACCCATACATTTTTTTTTAATTTATGCACGACAAGACTTAGTTTTAAAAGAGGTATTGCAGATTCAGATTCAAGATTGGTCTTTCCTTCAAAAGCAAAATATTCAATTTTCTTGGTTTTTTATGTAAGGTTTTTTCAGAAACTAATAGCCCTCTGTATCTGTACCTACTAATAGTCCGTTAACGTTAACGGTAACGCAATGTCAGACGTCGTCTCACCTCTCTCTTCCACGTAGTTTGTGACGTAAGTTAGGGATGGTTACTTACCATTACTTGGTAATGATATCAACCATAATTGAATTGACCCCTCGAAGTTTGGCAATACTTTGATCAGGTAAAAAATACAAGAATTATGTTGGGGCTATTTTGTACATTTAGTCCCGTCTTGCGAGTTTTATTAAATGACGGTATACGCATACAAAGTATACATTGTACTGTATAGGTATAATGAGATTGCAAGCAATCAAATAATAGCTCTCAATTTGAAATTGATGAATTTATATTTATAAGCCAGGCCCTTAAGATATGAACAGGCTGCCAGATACATAGGTGTATTTGTTAGATCAAATAGCAGCTCAACTCAAATAGTTATGATTTTATATATTTTCTGCACTGTTGATAGAAATGAGATTAAACAAACTAACATTATTAAAAGATTAAACAAAACAAAAAAAAAGGGACAAGAGCCTGATGTAGAAGGCGGTACTTCTGGAAACTACATATATTGTGAAAAGGGTCCTCTCTCTGAATTCTTTACCAAGAGAAAAGCTTTGTTTTTGTAACTGATGTCGATGAACTTTAGAAATTGTTCGGAAAAACGATGATTTTTATTTCATTTTTTCAATGAGGTTTTTTTATTGAGTAATGAAATAGCCGTTTGTCTTGCTACACACATGATGGAAAGTGACAATGAAGACTGACATGATATCCAAGAGAAGCCTTTTCAAGCTACTCTTGAACATTCAAGATGGTGCTATCCCCATTCATTTTCTGTTCAGTGCAGTGCAGGTATATTCAATATTATTTATTTATTTGATAATTCATAGCTGAACCTCGATGATTTTATTTAGATTCTACGATCTTTATATTCATTTCTATAACTTCTATTCAAGTAAACGTCTCAACTTTAATTTTACAATTAATACGTGAGAATAACATCGTTTTCTGGCAACTCACCAAATGTGCCATGTAATCACATCACATCTAAAATTGAGAGTCAATTTACCGGAAATCTAGCGCGGATTAATGAAGACACGGCCGCCGTCTTACGCTTAGTTTTTTGTGCGTTGGGCAACACCTGCGCAAGAGTCGACGCTGCGGTAGGTCCCGATCAAGACGTCAAATCACAAGGCTGAATGCGGCCGTTCCTTAGCTCTACCTATCGATATACATTGCCCAACGTATTACCTCGTAATCACACTGCACAACGGTTTAATTAAAGTCCGGACTGATTACTACAAGAATACCTATCTATTAATAACACTGGACAATAAAGGGAATGCTTGAAAAACAATTCAGCTGCTTTACCTACGTGAGTACAAAATGCGAAAGTCGATTTCTATTTAATGCAAATGAAAGTGACCGTTAATAACTTAAAGAGCAATGTTTATGCAAGATGTAACTATAATATAATATACATATGTTCAGTTAAGGTGTTGTGTGTTTCTTTTCGATGTAAGCACCTGCGTATGCACTTGTACTACCAGGGAGGTCTCACATTGTCACTGATACAAGGTTTTTGTTTTAACATTGCCCTATGAGTAATGAAATTTTCCATAAAAGTATTTTTGTTTACTCATACTACACATTATTAGCAAAATATTTTTTAAAATATTATGCATAGTAATTAATAATTTTATAAATTTTACTTACTACATATTTTGTAAATTTTAAAACTTTTTTTTATTTGACTTTTTGTAATTAAAAAAAAAACACGATTTGTGAATATATTAGAACCGCTGGAAAAGCATTGATTACCTTTAGTTTTCGAACACCAACCATTATTTAAGTTCAACGTCTCAGTATTACAAATATTTTTTCAATGTTTTTACAAAGTAACTTGTCAAAAGAACATGGGTGCTAAGTTATAAAAAAATCCTTGATGGATGAATAAATCCTTTTAAAAAAAATTGAACCAAAAAATACTGACAAAGAGTACTAAAAATTAAAAAATAATTACAAATCTAAGTAAAAAAACTAAAATAAGTACTCTCAATATAACAGGCAGCATTAAAATGGGAATAGTCCCTTCTAGTCTGTTCGAAGTTGGTGCCAAGCCAAATAGGTTCTTGATAGGCTTGGTAGAATGTAGCGCGGCAGCTGTAAAAGTCTTTATTGCTTCATGTTCTTATTATTTTGAATGCTTTATTAAGTAGTTGATAAATTTGCGTACGTAATTGATCTGGTTGGCCTTTATTAATTAACAAAAAGCAAGGTCAATACATGATTAGATTTTTGAAATAGTTATTTTCTAACTCTTAAAGGTCAAGGATCTTTGCATCATCAGTTCAGCAACTACTAAATGCAAATACCTATAAAGCCAGAGAAATAAGCTAAAACACGTTGTCGGGGCTATAAAATTTGAGGGTTTCCCTCAATATCTCTAGAATCCCATCATCAGATCCTGATTTGGAAGTAATGGAATCACCTCGGAAGCATACCCATGTGATTACAAAAATAATTTAGAAAATCAGTCTACTATTGAAGGAGATATCGCGTAACAAGTATACAAATACAAAAACCGACAAATTGATAACCTCCTCTTTTGTGTTTTTGAAGTCGGTTAAAACACAATTATGGAATTCGAAAATGGAACTCTTTGGGAACATGTTACTTGTAAATTTGCGAGACTGTCATTTGTTTTTTCATTGTTACGTCCTTTCGAAAATTGTGTATCGCTATCAAAATTAATTTAACTCGTGATTGATTTAACTTCAATGATTTTATGATTTCCGTAGTGGCTTAAGTCAATAAGAGAGTTACCAGAGACTTCAATTTGCATTTGGTTACGAAGCACCATGTCGCAGTTCTGTGTATTCGTGGTTTGGTGAATTTAGACGTGGACGTCATCTTCTCCATGACGAGGTACGTGAAGGTCGGCCGGCGACTGCGGTTACAAACTCTATTATTAAACCAAAACTAACAAAAAAATACTTGCTAGCAAATTCGTGCTTTGATAGGCATTAGAATGAAGCAAGTGTAAAATATTTTACATGTGCATCTGAAGGTTCGGAATATGGTTCGGATACCGCATGACTTACATGACATAACAGAGGACCAGAAACGACTGCGTGTCCAGTGGTATCGTAAAATGATAAAAAAGTCTAACGGAAGACAGTCATTGGCTGTCTATGATATCGTTACAGGGTGTACTGCTTTGAACCCAAAAGAAAAAGCCAGTCGGCTTGAGTGAGAGTGGGTCTTTCCTTTTAAAGATTTGCCGACAAAAGTTAAGAAAAGTCGAAGCATGAGTAAAAATATGGTTACTTCTTTTTTTCGGCAAATCAGGACATTACACTACAGTATTGCTTGAAGTTCAAAGCACAGTGACTGCAGATTGGTACGTTAACATTTGCTTGCCCAGAGTCTTAGAAAAAGTTAGCGAAAAGCATCCTCGAAGCAACATCCCCCTTTACCACGATAACGCATCCTAACATTCTGTTTAGGTAACAGAAGACTATTTGAAGGCTTCAAATGTTGAACTGATGACGCATCCGCCTTACAGCCCGGCTTCTACGGCGACTTCTTTTTGTTTCGAAAAATTAATGACAAACTTAGAGGCACACGTTTTACGAGCCCTGAATCGACGGTGAATGCGTTCCATGAAGCCATTGAAGAGGTCCCTAAAGAAGACTGGGCCAACTGCTTTGTACAGCGGTTTCAGCGAATGTAAAAAAATATTATTGCGAGGGAATGTTCTTTGAAAAACAATAAATGTATCGTAAGTAATATGGCCACTAACTGAGTTATAAAATAAAATTAAATGAATAAAATAAGTCTTATATCTAGTCTTATTTATCAGAATCCAGAAACTCACAGTATGCCCTAAGTACAAACAACCGGATTCAACCTTTAATACGAGTAAGGGTGCTTATCAGTGTTGTGATAATTGAAAGATCATAATTGTGCATAAACAGTGACCAATCTCTGCGCCTACGCAACATTGTTTCTTAGAAATGCCGTCATGTGCAGTAAGTTTATGAAAATTGGGTTTCTCTGGTATTTAAGGCAATAATTTTATACTGTTGTTCTTTCACCACTAAATCTTTTTTATTGACAAACTTCGTTTTACTATAATATATAACGTACTAGGTAACAAAGCCAAAGTTAGAGCACAGAGACGAGGTCGTCAACCGCGACCCTCATATGGCCGACCGTCGTCGTGTCGGACAAATCTGCCCACCACGTCTAAATTAGATTTTATTGCGGGGCGTCTGCTATACACCTATACACCAACCAGTTAACCACGAGCCCCAAAAGCTTCGTGCCTTAAGTAATGGTAGGCCTCAACTTACTGGCCAAAGTTCAATTGAGTGAGGCGTAAGCTGTAAACAGCTGGTAATTGTGACAAGTTGGAAGTTAGTCTGAAAACTCAATCTAAAAGTATTCCTGTTTATAAATAGTGATGATTGCAAGTCGTCTGGCGGTATTAATATTATATCGTGGGATTCTGCTCTTATAGTGCCTATTTTATTTTTAGTTGTAAAACACTTGAATAATGACTGTGCTTTATTAAATGTATTGTATCGTATACCGAAGCTTATCTAATAGCCAAGTTTAAAACACTAACTGAATCTAATAACTTTTCGTGAATCATATATTTGGACAGACAGTCTAATTAACTAAGTGTGGAATCTTTTATAAATCCTACAATATTGTTAAATTACCCTATTATACGAAGTATTATATGTATGGCATGTATATATTGCCCTCATCTCAGCCGAAATACGTCCACTGCTAGACAAAGACCTCCCCCAAGGTTCGCCACAACAACCGGTCCTGTGCTACCGCATCCAACGGCTTCCCGCGACCTTCACCAGGTCATCGGACCACCTTGTTGGAGGCCTACTCACCCTGCTTTTCAGTACGCGGAAAAGATTCGATAATAGTAAATTACAACGTCATAATTACTTCATAAAGATTTTTCGGCAACTTTTTATTTGTTTCAAAAAAAAGTCAGGCAGGCAAAAACACCCTACAAGAATTTATCGAAAACCAATATTCACAAAATCAGTAGAAACCTTATGTAAAATGACCACATACATAAATAAATTGATTTATTTTATGAGATTGGATTATTATTTAATTAGAAGACAATACATAAATACTTACATTCATAAGCTCTTTTCCCTCTTCTGTAGACGTTAACGCTATGAGGGCATTACTGCACTCTCTGGAACAGTGCTTCACAGGCTCAGTGAGAAGAGACTCGCACATCATCATGTAGTTGCCCAGCGCAGCACCACATCCCGTGCGGTATGCGCATCGCGTGCGCGCCTCACCGCACCACATTGCGCCCGCGCCCGCTGCGCAAACGGCAAGAAACGCCGCAAACAGCCACATCACCTGTAATAAGATAGTAACAGATTACTACACACTCTTACAAGAGATTGAATAAATACTCACATTCTGCCAACTATAGTTTGGTTCCACTTATATAATAAGAGCCTAGTGCCGTGTACCCGGTGCTTTGAGAATTTAAGATAGTAAAATTCGAAGGTAATGTAAGGAAAAGGTTATTGCTTTCAGAGGTGATAGGGGACTGTAATCAATAGGTCGAGCAGGTCTGTAACTCGAAGGTCTCTAACGTATTGAAAGAGTAAGTCTGATTCATGTAGTCAGTAGTATGATTTCCGCCATGGTACGGAGCGAGAGTGCGTGGATCTGCGCCGTCTCCTTCTGCGAGCAAGTTATCAAGTTAAGTCTAAACCTCTCCCGGTCCCGCTCGCTGCTTGCGAAGGAGATAGCGTATCTCCTTCGCAAGCAGCGAGCGGGACCGGGAGAGGTTTAGAACTTCTAATGTACACCTGGTTCACCGGTTCGAGTCCGACATAATCACCAAACCGGTGGGTGATATTCGAGGGGATTGCCGCACAGGAGAAAAATAAAAAAGTCCCCACCTAGCTTGGATTTCAGGGTATAAACACAAACACAAATTTGACCAAAATTAATGAGTAGCAAAGATTTAACATTACTGTAAGTTGTATAAACTTTTTGAGTGAATAAATGATAGATAGATAGGTACTCTTTATTGAACACTATAATTAGGATTTATGTTTTGAAAAAAACTGTCAATAATGTACTATTAAGTATTAAATAAATTATCAAAACAGTCTGAGAAACTCATTTTTCAAAAAGGCTAATAAAGTTTTTCTTTAAAGAGTGCCGTCGCTGATTAGTGAAATAGTTTAACTGACGACTATTATTAATAGAATTGCGGTATGTTAATAGATGTTAGATAGAATTGAGATGAATAGTGTGTATAAATAGAATTGTGCACTGAATCCATACTAATGTCATAAATGCGAAAGTGTGTTTGTCTGTCTGTCTGTTACCTCTCCACGCTTAAACCGCTAAACTAGAGATAGTTTAAGTCTCGGGAAATTACATACGATAGTTTTTATCCCAGAAAACATTATATAAGGGGGTGAAAAGATGGGTGGAAGTTTGTATGGGGAATCAATAACCGCTGAACCGATTCAAATGAAATTTGGAATAGAGATAGTTTGATTCTTGATAAAGGACAAAGGCGATAACCGACATACACGCGGGCGGAGCCTCCGGCAAAGGCTAGTCGACTACAAATGTGTGGTCTAGGAAGTTGTTAGTTGTATGTACGAGTTTAAATAGACATCAGTTAGAAGAAGAATATTTGGTACGCGGTGTGCTTCATCATCATCAATCATCAACAGCCTTTACTAGTCCACTGCTGGACATAGGCCTCTCCTTAGAAAGGAGGTTTTGGCCTACTATACCACGCTGGCCAGACGGGTTGGTATAGGGTTTTTTTCAAGTTTTCCTTCTCTTTTCAGTGCTGTTGTCCTGCGTAGTTTGCTCCCTTAGTCGCCTCTTACGACACCCACGGGTGTGCATGGCAATCTTATTACAACAAGATTCCTTTCCTCCAGTGCTTCAAGAAAACTCTTTTATATCGGGATATCTAAGCTACGCTCGACTGGAGTAATACGGCGGCGTCACAGAAACCCAGTGTTAAGCAGTTCTTTCGCTCCTTTTCAGTGAGTGAGTGAGGTTACTGTAGCCCATGCCATAGTAAATTAAAGACTAAAGACTGACCATATACACCTCTCATGCCATTCCATACACATACTTACATATAAATCCATACACTTAAATACCATAAACACCACAAACGCACAGCACACACCACACTACGCACTTTCAACACATATTAACACATCTCACTGCACTTATTTTACATAACATTTCTGTGAGCTCATAATGGGAGAAGACACTGACTCTGTACTGACTGACTTCTGTAACACAGACCCAAGAGCCTAGCTCAGCAGTCAGGAATTTCACATATTGGTGTATTTTTTTTATGAATATATTAAATAAATAAAAAAATCGGGGGGATTGGGTATATCGATTGGATCCTATAACCTCTTCTTGCCGTTCTGGAGAAGGGAGCACTCAAAAGGGGGCAACGCACTCCTGTCTCTTGAGTTGCAGAATGTCGCTTAGTAGTCACCTATACTATAAAAAACTTGCTAATTTGACTGCTATCATATATCGGACTTATCTTCAACGGATTTTACTGAATATATACTAGAATATTTTTTAGGCTATTCTTTAGTTAGACATCTTAGATGGCATTTTTGTCCTTACAAACAGATATCCAAAATAACCTTATAACAAAATAGTTTAAAAAAACCTTTTTTTTTAAAGGCTTGTACAATTAAGTCATAGAACGTGGTTAAAAAGCGAACGTGACTGCGGAGCTACAGATCATCTCACTAGCAATGCTCGGCCATGTTCCGACTGTTCTTAGAAGAGTACGAACGTCCGTAAACAAACAGAATCGCGTCACGTCCACTCGTCACTCGCTACTGACTTACACATTTACCGTAACATGGCGTTAGGGTTGCCAGTCACTAGACTAAAATCATGAAATTATATTCATCATTAATAGCAAGCCTTAATTTACCACAGAACCTACAATTAGCATTTTTTGTAAATACTTGAAATCACAAATCTTACATAAATCAAAAATTTACATTAAATCCTTAAAAATCGCACAATAGTTTCATTAATTTAAATCGATTTTTTTATCACTCTAAGCAGCCATCACCTAAGCTATCTCATTTTGAGAATCCCTTAATATATCCTAGTTTTTTGTTTAATCTTTGAATTTTAATATATTAATATAGTTGTTTAGTAACAAAATGTTTATATAGTCCTTACACTATTACTAGCACAACGACAAAAGCATAAAGGTCGTCGTCCTCTGAAGAGTCCCTGATGCAAAAAGAAAACAAACCGACAACTTAAGATGTCCACCACTCACGACGCGGGAGCCAAGTTTTACATTACAATAACAATCGGTACCTGTTAAAACGCAACGTAATCCTTATTTACATACAAATAAGGACCACGCAAGTTACAGTATCAGAGATAAGCATAGGTTTACGTGAGCTGTTTGCGTTGGTAATTGAATTACATATAAGAATTACGAATCAAGTTCAATATTTGAGTTGTACTTAACAAGTCATTTCGAAAGTAACTTTTGTATCGGACTCTCGTAGCTACTGTTTCGTGGTTGCCATAAAAAATAAGATGATTCTCAGAATGTGAAGATAGGTAAGTAACCTATATGGATAACATATTTTATCAATCAAACTTATTAAACAACATGACTCTAATTTCAATGCTTTAAAGGTAAGAAAGGAATACAATTCTCCTAAATAAATAATGTGAAAAATTGATAACAAACGTAAGTCCTTTCAAAAAGCAACGTAACATACAAGAACATGTGTTTAGATGTCTTAGATTCACTCTTTAGACAATTATTTAAAGTGTTTAAATAATTGTCTAACGACTTTAATTAATTGTCTAACGAGTAAAGAAACTAATAAAATCCAAAGGCACCGTTAGCGTTTTGAACCATTGAATAGGTTATCTATAACAACATGGAATATATTAAAAAAAGGTCTGATTCAAAATTTTTACTTTAGTCTTTACACAACGTGGCAGCTAGAAGACACATTTCGTTTTTACTGTAGATACTATTTGTATCCTGTCATAATTGTTACTTTTCCATTTTAAAGGAATTTTGGTAAAATCATTTGACAAATTTAGAAAGCTTTGCGTTTGAGTCTAGGTGTTTTGACACTTTGCGGGAGTTGTGCGGTCCATGGCCCTTTATGGAGCTGTATAGGCGGTAGCCATGAGAGCCAGCAATGTTGCACTACCGCGACGACCGCAGCGGGTGCTGGCCATCAGGGTAATAAATAGGTGGGGCCACCTGTCACGCCCTGTGGAGCGTGCACGCCCGTTAGGGAGCATAATCGGAACACCGTGGTTCACTTACACGAGGGGATCATCTACAAGCCGTCGATGGCCCGAGGTAGGTCAAGGTACCATGGATTTCCTTCCAAGGATACACTTATTCCGAGACTACTAGTACCCGAGATGGCGTGCGGTTTTCAGTAGGATCAAGACCGACATAACCACCCCATCGGTGGATAGTATCCGAAGGGATTTCCGCACCAAAAAAAAAGGTGTTTTAACACTTAATTCTTTCACATTCTATGATTTCAGTTTTCATAATTCATTTTAGCATTACTTTTGCTACACAACGATAAGGCTTGGTAAAGTGAATACCACATTCCATTATAAGTAACTGTCGTATATGAATGTGGAAAAGGCGCCGGTAAATATGCCATAGTCAATTTTCCAAACGGAACACATTACTTTACAAAACAAAACTATATACGAGTACTGTGAAAAATCAATTAACGAACTACTTTCGGTTTATTTTTGTTTTATATTAAAATGACACATGTTGAGTTAAGTAATATTGCAAAATCCCAAATGGTTTAGTTGTATGTATCGTTTAATTTAGGGATTAAGTTTTACACTAATGTATTTCCATTTGATGACATATACACAACCTTGCACGCACAATAATAAAATCAATAAGTGTAAAATTCATTTTCTTTGTAGAACATGTATTGTATTCTATCAGTAATTATAATAAAGAATTAAAATTAAGACAAAAATATCATAAAAGAAAACATTGCCGATCACTGGGCATTTTCATGAAACAGTATAATGTTTTTAAAATCTTTACAACACAGTACACCACAGTTAGTTCTCTTGAATTGTTGAACATCACAATGTGTATAAGCTACATTCCCGGCACGATAAGATTCCAGATTGTACGCAATTGTGATGACAAGAAATAATGGACTAATCACGATGTAGATAAAATCAAACGTCAATATATCGTAAATGAAAAATTGTTGTCGTGACGCACGCTCAACCTTCTAAACTCAACAAAATAATGTATTTGGCACCATACTCGGAACCCACGAGCACAATCGAGATCCAAGAAAGGCATCGCTGCGACATTTCCACATTCGTAAACCTAACGACGCAAGCGGTTAGCAGACAGGTGTGAAAAGCGTCATATAATTGCTCTTACACAGTCAACAAACTCAACATCGAGTTCATGGAATGTAGTTTTAAAAAATAAACCGCATAATTATGTAACTATAACGATACACATGCCTACACGTTTACGACAACTACTATGTACACTGATGCGAACATAAAATCATATCAACAATAAAACAATAAAACCATGTAAAATGGGTTCAACATTATCAGACTCACCGAAGTGTATACAATGTACGTATGTAGTAATAATATCGTCTGAAGAATATTTTAAATATTTTTCTTTACCATTAACAGTTTACGTTATGCTTTTACGTTATTTTACATTCTAATCTATTAATGATTGGTATACAAGAAACAAAACCAAAAAGCTATTTATTTTCAGATCACGGTTAGCAAATTCTTACCTAATATCCTCTTAGTTCTCCTTAACGGTTAAATTCATCGATCAATTTGTTAATAATTTCTTTTAAATGTATCTAAATCTGTCTACTTCGAGGACTACGGTGTTGTAAATTCAAAATTTGAGAATGTTTGGTAAATCTATATTTAAATTTTACAAAGAAACATTAGAACACAATTATATGAGATTGTTATCTAAATTTAAGTTTCTCAATTTCTTTACAAACCGTTCACGCTGAGCATGCAGTCAAATTTAACAGGTTGTTCCTGTAACAGATACTTAATATAGTTAGTATTATGAAGGGAAGCTAGGTTTAAACATTCCACTTAAAGTTCATTATGCAACACTCGTCGTTCTTTTCATGATTAAAAAAATAATGAGTGATAATGCAAAACGAAGCCATTATGTCGTAAACTTGTTCTTCTTCAAATGAATATTTGCTGTATTTTTTTGACATTTTATACAAATGAAATGACATATGAATACCCAATGACAGTTATCGGTCTTGGCGCCCTTACTTTACTATACGACCGCATATTCACTAAAGCCAGTACTACAGATAACAACTGAATAAAGAATATATATTAAAACACAAAACATTTATAAGTAACAAGAGCGGTAGGTACGTACGCTGTAAAGACATTTTAGCACAAACGTTGTGGTATGGTTGCGCGCAGAGCTCTAACCAGTGTGCATACAAGACGTGTTCCCGTGTAGCTCATTATTGCATGTCGTTAGGCGCCAACGACGTGTACAAACAGCTACTGAGTAACATGTTCTAAACTTTTTGGAATTCCAGTTTACTTAAAGAATTTCCTGGAAAACTTATTTCGCTTGCTAAATATACCAAAAGTAAATATTTAAATGTCGTAGAGATGCAATCTATTCAGATTTAGACCTTGTAACGCTCAATATTAGGGCTTCTTTTAAAAATAATAAATTTATATACTTCTAAAGATATGTCTTTGCAAATCAGACGAAAAGAAACCTATTTTAATCATTTTTATTCTTATAATAATTATTGTCAATACAACATAATAATTTGGTAAGTATTTATTTCGTAGTTCACCGCTGTAAAGCATAGCGCCAAAAGTAACAGTAATGTAAGCATAGTACTATGGGTTAGACTAAAAACAATCATTTAGGTCAAGGATTTTTTCGCCGACTACTTTGTTTATAACATACCTATAATTCAGAGTGGTTACCCACTCTTTATTAAAAATGCCAGGTAAGTCATTTAAAACTTAAATAAGACTAACTGCTGGCTTCTCTCGTATCATTTTTAGACAACAGTGAAATATTGATTTAAAAAAAAAAATCTAAACTTCTTGGTATCCCTAAGATACCTTTAAGAATAACAATCTTATTTTTTAATCTCAATTAGTGTTTATAAATTATTTAATATTACATTTATTTTTTAACGAAAAAGTTTCATATTTTTTAATTTGCGAGCAGCATGCTTCAGGAAAATATTCTTGATGTGCAGCAAACAACAAAACGAATAAAATTTTGTTCATTAAGCCCACTACTACCGACTAACTCAAGCTCTTCAATAAATACTCTCTGATTTATTATATCTGCTTAATACCTGCATACGAACTAATGATTGAAAAGTATTTGCTTCCAAAACGCATGTTGTAGTACAATGATTTACGATAGCTGTTAATCGCAGTGTGTGCGCCGGAGTCGGCTTTCGGTGTTCTGTTCGAATATAAACGATCGAATTAAACTACTTTCTAAAATCGAAAACACCAGCATGTATATTTACACAAAAATATTTACACATAGACACAAATGATAACCGACTCGAAAAATAAATTAAATTTTATATTGAATTTCCCATTACATCTTAAGTGTTACTTACTTAGCAAGCAGTACATACTCGTAACACACCTTTAATTATTCTTTAATTTTACTATAATTTACTTTTCACTTAACACATTTTTCAATTTACTACTACGTCAGTTTCAAAAATTTACTCTTCTTCTGCCATAGAATATTTTTAATGTCTTCATTAGTTAATAATTTTCAATATCAATAAGACAATATTTAAATAATATCAAGAAATTCGACATTTTGATCCACCCGTCTTAGTCTAGATTCAATTATCGTTACTGACTTTTTTTAAACATTTACAATCATTATTA